GCAAATGCATCTCACACAAAACACCTCTTAGTTTATGTGAATTACATCAAAAGTTTTCCTCCCATTATTACTAAATGAAAACAAGTTAGCTTCCCTTACACGTTAATTAATTTCCTAGCAAGAACCAAGAAGTAGTGCATTTGACTTTTTGAGCACTCATCACCCCATCGATGCCATATAAATTATAACGTTAACTGCATGTTGGACAGTCCTTCTCAAAGACCCCCAAGTGAGAAGGACAATTAGCCCAAAGTGACTAGACAACCCCCAGTTAGTTAGAGACCCCTTGAATGAATGGGGCTTAGGGTTAGTTAGGAACTCGTATTCTGGCATATATAGAAGACCTAGAAACTTGGCCGACCACATATATGAGAGGCCAACTAATTAGAATAATAAATTGTGGGGGCCAAGTCGTAAAGTTTGTTGAGAAATAGGTTTAGGGTTTGATGAATTTTGACACAATTAGTGTAGCTGTCAGTGTTTGCATATCCTCCAAGTATTTAGGTCTGAACTTTTCATGTCCATTTGTAGAACATATGTCTGGTTAAGGTCAGTTTCTACGTCTACCTTTAAGTTTTGGCTCTCAAGAATGTCTGCTAGGTGTTTATCAAGTTGGAGGTAATTTGATGGTATTTGAGATTCGGATGATGAGTCTGTAACCCTTATTCAACTGTGCACGGTTCCCATTTTTTCAGTAATGTTAATCCATGTATGACAAGTTATAATGAGGCACAACTCAATATCAAACTCACTATAGATATATTGTTCTCAGATTCGTCTGAATCGATCTTATAAGATCTTCTCTATGACTAAGTAAAGACCAAATGTTGCTAAACTTATCATGTGCGTTATTCATGGTTTTGATTAATGTCCTACAATGTGCTTGATATTTCTATTTTTGCAGTTTCTGGTTACATTTACAGTTGGACCAATTACTCAATATTAAAAGTTATAAATCCACAATTACTAATTAGTACTATAAATCCTTCATATGGTGTAGAATGGACTAAAACTCATGATATATTTACAGTTGTATCATGGACTTAATCACATGAATCCTTCAATAAGACCGACCGAGGTGATAGCCGAACGATTTGGCTTATCTTTAAATCCCGTCCCATTGTCATATTAATTTGTCTAGTGTTTTAACAAGTCCATTCTCAAATCCAAATTTAAGCCCATTATTTTTTTTGCCATAATCGCAATTTTTATTAACTATTTTGCGATATATGTGGGCTAAATTGTCATTGGATGAAATTTTCATTGACAATGTAATTTTTTAGTTTTCTCCAATATCTTAACCTAAAGAAACTAGCAATTGTGTGGTGAAAAAAAAATGCATGCATTATGTGATATTATCTAAAAGTCTTATGATAATTTTATCTATGCAAATTTCCATTTCATGTTCTTTAGATGAGAAAAGAAATAACACTTGGAAAGGGTGTAAACTAAGTGTGTGATTGTTTCATTAGGTAGTGTGTCATTTCATCCTTACATTCTACTATACATAAAAATTCATGGTTTTATCCTTATAAATGGTATATTTTATGAAGTGTTACTTCATAAAATAAACATTTAAAATGCACCTCACAAATTATCCATTTTCAATTTTTCAAGGCTGAACTTTGAATTTTATAAAATTGAGCAATTTTTTTTGGGTGTGTTGTGGTGTTATATGGATGTATAATTACGTTAATGTGAACAGCATGTTAAGTCAATGACTAGTGGCGGTCAGGTCGTAAAGTTTGTTGAGAAATAAGTTAGGATTTGATGAATTTTGACACAATTAGTGAACTTGTCAGTGTTTGCATCTCCTCCAACTATTTAGGCCTGAACTGTTCGTGTCCATTTGTTGAACATATGTCTGGTGAAGGTCACTTTCTACGTCTACTTTTAACAGTTTTGGTTCTCAAGAATGTCTGCTATGTGTTTATCAAGTTGGAGGCAATTTGATGGTACTTTGAGATTCGGATGATGAGTTTGTAACCCTTATTCAGCTGTGCATGGTTCCCATTTTTTCAGTAAGATTAATCCATGCATGACGACTTATAATGAGACATAACTTAATATCAAACTCACTATATATATCGTTCTCATATCCGTCTAAGTCGATCTTATAAGACTTCCTCTATAACTAAGTGAAGATCGAATGCTGCTAAACTTATCATGGGCACTATTCATGGTTTTGATTAATATCCTACATTGTGCTTGATTATATTTGTGCAGATTCTGGTTACATTTACAGTTGGGCCAAAACTCAATATTAAAAGTTAAAACTCTATAACTATATATTAATTTGTCCTGTATAAATCCTTCATATGGTGATTAGCCGAATAAGACCAAAGGAAGTGATTAGCCGAATGATTTGTCTTTTCTTTAAATCTCATCCCATTGTCATGTACATTATCGACTCCATTCTCTTATCCCAAATTAATCCCATTAATTATTTGCCATAATCTCCCATCAATATCAAAATTTCGCATTTTGTATCATGACTTGGCTACGATCCAAATGCCAATTCTAATCAATTCTCTCTGTTTTCCTTTTGGTGAAAGATTAATATATCAAAGTAAAGAGAAATAAAAGCAGAGTCGCACTACAACTACCAGTCCTGCGACGGGAAGGAAAACAGAAATATAAGTCAATAGTATATTTGCTAGTATTGTATATATAAAGCACTAGACCTTACCATTATTTTCCCTACAATTTTAAACAAAAAATGTCCAGGACGTAGACGAAGTATCCATAAGAGTTGAGACTTTTTGTTGGTAAATTGAATGAGAATGAACTATCGATGAAATACCCTAAAATCTTAGGGTAACTCCATCTTATTTGACTTTATCTAGCTCAACTTTTATCCGCCATCCTCACCACTTGAGCAAACCCTAAAAAGTGAAAAGTTAAGACGTTCTATTTCAACAGTAACATGCATATCCGATAAGAATTCCATTTTTCTTTCTTTTATATGAATGCATTTTTAATGTTTGCTTTCTTTTTTTTTTATGTTGTTCTTATCCTTAGAATCAAATAGCACGACAAGATCATGTCCAGAAGCAAAAATTCAGGAACACAAATAACAACCAGTGAAAATGTTGGGGGAGTTGACTAAGAACTATTGCCATGGTTAATCCCAAGGAGTTAGGGCATCGGACAAGATAAACTTGATTATAGTCCATGTAATTTGGTTAAACTCACTGTCTTGATTTCAGAGTTGTGCACGAAACTCGCAATTTTTTAAAAACTATTTTGCGATATATGTGCAAACTCAACTTCTAAGCGCACTTAGGTTATACAACACAATGTTGGTGTTTAGCAATCCATCTAGCATAAAAGATGGGAAAAAGAGTTGGAAGAAGTAACACTTATTTTACTTTTACTCCAATAGTCCAACATTTCCTAAATTTTTGCGCACAAGTTTGAATACCACTTCGATGTAAAAACATTGTCAATGTTATATCACAAAAAAGTCATGAGAGAATTCAAAACGGAGCACGATTTTTATAGATGTTGTGCTACTTAAATCGCAAATTTTATGAATTAATGTATTAATAGAAGACACATTTTCTCTCGTGCATTAATTAAGGAGATTTAGAGAGAAAATAAAAATGAAATGTCAACCTAAACCATGCATAAACCTATAGAAAAACGATGAAATGTATGTTTTAGAAAGCACACAAAATCATTAGGCGCATAAGTTGGAATTAATCTGGTGGATTTATAGAAGAAAAGCAGAAATCTACAAACAAACTAATTAATAAGGAAACATATTTGTTCAGTTTCCCTCAACCTTGACTTGCTTTTTCAAGCCTTCCAAATTGTGTTTTTGTGACCTTGACATAAAATAAATGGCCTTGATTGCTGTGGGGTAGCCTTCAGTGATGCATGAACTTAAAATAATTGGAATGTTTAATGCCACTTAATTGGCTTACTTTGTTTAATGCATGGCCACGAGCCTTGTGCCTTCCAAGCAAGATTGGCTTTTCTCTGCACATGTATCATCAAAATCTCACACATGCGCGTGAGTACGTGCGGAAAGATTAGTATATATAAAGGAAAAATTAGTATCTGATTCCTAATTTTTATTGTTCATTGACTAACACCTTATTAGTTCTCAAATTTTGATTCAAGTCCTTAGCATTAATGTGATAATGAATTTACATGTTTATTATATAATTTTTTTTAATATAAAAATTAGTAATTAATTTAGGGTTTAATACTCACACCTCTATTAAACTTCTAATTAATTTTCAATTCAAACATTTCCAAAATAATAAAAAAATTAAATTAAATTAAGTTTGTACCTATTAGTTTTTTTTTATATATAAAAAGATTCTCAATTTTTTAATCTTAAATGTACCCATTCATATAATTTTTCAATTTTTTTAATCTTAAATGTACCCATTCTCAAGTATATCAATTTGTTATATGTAAAATGTACCCTTTTTTAATATAAAATCCATTCAAATTTTTTAATCCATGTTTTAACTTATATGGGTACATTCTTTTTCGTTGATTTGACAATGTATCCATGTTTTGGTACAATAATTTTTTTTGTTAATTTTGGTTAATGTACCCATACATATATGTATATATATATACACACACACACACACACACAAAATATAATAGAGAGAATAATTTATATTTTATTATTTTTAATCCCATAAATTATGGGTTTTATTTAAAATCTCATTAATATAAACAATTACAAATTTCAATTTTTAATTTTTAATTAAAAAAATATAGTAACTTACATTATTACATTAATATCAGGGACCTCAATCAAAAACTAAAAACTAACAAGGTTTCAATCAAAGAATGTTGATAGTTAGGGACCGCATCCAAAGTGTCCCTTATATAAAATAAAAGCGTAAAAAACCATCGAAAAAATAACGCAAAACTCTTTGCCCTATTGAAATAAACAGAAAATAAAGTAAAAAGGAAAATAATAATAAACATGAATTTAAAAAGGGTGGCCTTTGCCTTTGGTATGTGCGTGTGTCCCTTGTCTAAATCTCTCTTTACACACGCTCCCAACTGTCTGCTCTGGTCGGCAACGAAGCTTCAACCTCAGCACCTTCCAACAGCAACAACTGCCTTCTTTTTCACCCAGAAAACCCAGTTCGGTTTTCTAGAGAGAGAGAGAGAGAGAGAGAGAGGAGAGAGAGGCCGACCCTTTACAGTTCATACTTACAAAGTCACAGGAGGCACACCAACAACCCTCTTGATATTTCAGGGGAATTCCAAATCGTGGTGGAGTTTTCGTCTCTCGTATCTTTAGCTTGTTCTGAAAAGCAGGTAAATTATATGCACTTTGTCTCTCTTCAATCTAAAGTTTCTGCTGTTGTTTCTGAAATTTTTCATCTTTTGGTGTGTTTTCATAAATCCCAGAAATTATAATCGAAAATGTCCTGGATTTTTCATTGATGGTTAACTCAAGATTGAAAGTTTTCTTCTGTAGTTGTCAGTTTTGTTTTGTGATTTTAATATCAGAATTTTTGTGAGCTTTTTTCTGTAGAAAAAGTGGGGTTTTCCCTTGCCACTACTATATCCGACTTGATTATTTTTCTGCAAATTTGTTGTGTTAACAGCTGCATTTTACTGAGGAAAGCAGTCAGACATAAAGAGGGTCATAGATTGTTTGACACAATGATTACAGTTATGGATTCTGTAAGAGAACCATTGAGGAGCAACTCAGAGAAATGGCTGGATTCTCAATTCTGGCACGCCTGCGCCGGCGGCATGGTTCAAATGCCGCCCATTAACTCTAAAGTCTTCTACTTTCCTCAGGGCCATGCTGAGTACACCCATGGGAAAGTGGATTTTGGGAATTCTAGAATTCCACCACTCATTCTCTCCAAGATATCTGCTATCAGATACATGGCAGATCCCGAAACGGATGAGGTTTTTGCGAAAATGAGGCTGATTCCGGTGAGAGAGAGTGGTTTTGATCTTGAGGATGATGGACTTGTGGGAAACAATGGAACAGTTGAGAATCCGGAGAAACCCACATCATTTGCCAAGACATTGACCCAATCTGATGCTAACAATGGGGGAGGCTTCTCTGTGCCTCGTTACTGTGCGGAGACTATCTTCCCGCGCTTGGATTACTCGGCTGAGCCTCCTGTTCAGACCATTCTTGCAAAGGATGTGCATGGCGAGATTTGGAAGTTTAGGCATATCTATAGAGGTACTCCTCGGCGTCACCTTTTGACAACGGGGTGGAGTAGTTTCGTGAATCAGAAGAAGCTTGTTGCTGGGGATTCCATTGTGTTTTTCAGAGCGGAAAATGGTGATCTCTGTGTTGGGATTAGAAGGGCTAAGAGAGGAATTGGCGGTGGACCTGAATACCCATCTGGATGGAATACTACTGCTGGAAATTCTGGCTCTGAATATGGGGGTTATTCTGGCTTTTCAAGGGAGAATGGTAATAAAGTGTTTGAAAAAGGTTCGAGTGATGACGCGAAGGGAAAAATGAGGGCTGAATATGTTATAGAAGCTGCAACTCTTGCTGCCAATGGCCAGGCCTTTGAGGTTGTGTACTATCCCCGTGAAAGCACACCGGAGTTTTGTGTTAAGGCTTCAGCTGTGAGAGCTGCAATGCAAATACGGTGGTGCTCAGGAATGAGGTTCAAAATGCCCTTTGAAACTGAGGATTCTTCTCGGATAAGCTGGTTCATGGGAACCGTATCTTCTGTTCAGGTTGCAGATCCCATCTGTTGGCCCGAGTCTCCATGGCGTCTTCTACAGGTAGGTTACATACATACTACATAGTTTTTATCATATTGAGTTTAATTGATCTTCACTACTATGTAATTGATCTTCACTACTACTTCCCAAATTATTGCTAAATTGTCATCCTATAACATAAATGTGCATCTGTGATTCAATAGATACCTTTTTTAGCAAGTCAAATTCTGTATTTTTGTGAGTAAATTGTATTCATACATTCATTTTTCTGATACTGATTATAGTATGTTGAATATAAATATGAAATTATCATTTGTTAGACATTAAACAAAATTTTTTTTTTTTTTATAGGTTTCATGGGATGAGCCAGACTTGCTCCAAAATGTGAAACGTGTTAGCCCATGGTTGGTTGAATTGGTATCGAGCATACCATCCATCCATCCATCTCCCTTCTCGCCTCCAAGAAAGAAGTTGCGGCTTCAACATAACCCAGACTATTCCCTTGTTGGCCAACTTTCCATGCCATCAGTCTGTAGCAACTTCCTAAATTCGAGCAACCCCTTATGTAATGTATCAGACAACCTATCTGCAGGCATACAGGGAGCCAGGCAAGCTCAGTTTGGACTATCTTCATCGGAGCTCTTCTTCAACAAATTGCAATCGGGTTTGTTTCCAATTGGTTTTCAACAACTTGGTCATTTTGCCCCTCTTGAAACCATTGGGGGCAGCTTTATGCGCAAGGCTGAAAGCAATGATAATATCTCTTGTTGTCCCACTCAAAGTTTGAAGGATAATGATGAGATAAAGACACCTCACATAGTATTATTCGGTCAGCTAATTGTTACAGGGCAACATATATCTAAGAGCTCATCTGGTGATGATTCAGATGGACATCCAAAGAAAACAACAAATTGTTCTGATGGCTCTGGTTCTACGTCACATCGCCATGGTTCAGTGGAAAATTGTTCTGATGGAGGGTCTCCTTCGAAGACAGATCACAGCGATCTTAGTTTGGAGACTGGTTATTGCAAAGTGTGTATTGATTCAGGGGATGTGGGGACTCTTGATCTCTCTGTCCTTAGATCATACCAAGAATTGTATGGAAAGCTAGCTGGTATGTTTGGCAAAGAAAGTTCAAAGATGTTAAGAAATGTGCTCTACCGAGATGCATCAGGTGTTGTTAAACACACCGGGGACGAGCCATTCGGGTAATTTTACGCATGCTTTATTGCCTTTCAAATCATTTACTTGAATGAGCATTTTTTTCTTCTAGGTTTTTCATTATGCATATGATCACCACTTACAATCTTGTTTGTATTGTTTGTTTTGGCAGTGACTTTTTGAAGACAGCAAAAAGACTTTATATGGTGTAACTGTGATAGCCTCATGCTTGTCTTTGCACCAATGCACCAATGCATCGTGAAGAGAACAGAAAAATTCATGCTTTTATCCTTACAAATGGATATTTTATGAAGTTTTACTTCACAATTATACATTTACAAGCACTTCATAAATGATCCATTTTAAATTTTTAAAAGGCTGAACTTTTAATTTTATAAATGTGGGCAATTTTTTTTTTTTTTTGGGTGTATTGTTGTGTAATATGGATCTATAATTACATAATGTGAACAACATGTCGTTTCTTCTTCGGGGGAGGGTTGGTGCCTCGCACACGACTGTTGACAAAGAGCTATCTCGCCTAATCCTTCTCTACAAAATTTTCTAAAAAAAACAGCATTTTATATCAATAACTCGGCATCAAAGTGAAGCACGCAAGTGTGTCTTATGTTGCCTCTTGGCCAAGAAAACAAGATTTGCATTCCCCCTTTTTCTCCTTTTCTTCACACCTAGTTGATGAGTTATTTTTTTTTATTCACACTGTCATGCGGTGTGACTACTTCAAGCAAATTATCACATTTGGTATTATCACAAAGTTCATAAAATATCATTCATGTTGTTCACTCGTATATTATAACACTTGAGTTAATAATATCACGTGACATTGTGATACTGTAATCATACATTTTCATATACAAGAGATCTCCAAGGATTTCTTGTTTAGATGAGTTGAACCACTGATCCATGTTTTGAGCATTGAAAATCATGAACCCTAAAACAGTCTTGGAAGTTTTAATAACTGTAAACATTACAAGTTCCAGAATCCCAACATTTTTGATCTACTATTCTGCCACAAATATAGGTTTTGGGATTTGAACTATTTTTCTTATAAAGCTTGAGATCATAAAAAATCAGTCAAATGAGGATTTATGTTCTCCACTTCTATATCATTTCATAAAAAATTGATCTTTTCTTTTTAAAACTAAATAAATAAAATCAAACAGACAAAGATCGTGAGCCAAGTAATTCCAACCCAATGCTTACTTTGAATTGTTCATACGAAATGAAAATTTTATTTTATTTTTAAATATAAAATTAAGATTAGGTTGACATTTTACAAATCTCGCAAGATGGACAAATCCAAAAGACAAACCAAATTATTAAAAGACAGCAAAAGATGCTGCAGAGCAGAGACATCACACATTCTTTCTGCGTGGAATTTGGATCTTCATTTGGCAAAAAAAAAAACATTTGTTTGTTAAATAATGTTAAACGTCTCGCATCGACCATCTTTTAAAACAAATTATAATTTATAGTAAATAGTTTTATTTTTTATCATACAAAATTTTTGTGCGATAAAATTTCATACCCTAAAATTTTATAAGTAATTAAGTCAAGGATTCAATATTAATGTGATTATTGATGAAACATTGATATGTTTTTCCCGAAATATTGTCGATGTATTTGTACAACAAAATTCCAAATAAAAGAAAATCGTTGTTGGTCAACAATAATATTGGACAACATTGAAAATTGGAGTCATTTTTTGGATTACAAATGTACAACGATGATGTGGTTCTCAATATTATGTTATATTTTAGTGACCAAGATCCAAGATTTCCCACGTTTGCTTGCGTCCCTACTCCCCTTATTAGTCAACTGTATCGATCGGATTTCCGACATGGGTTTTTGCAAACAAACTCCAACCTGTGTTTCCGTTTGGATCTTAATTAATTTTGCTTTTTCTAATCACCCGCACGCATTGAGAACATAAAATATAATTAAGTTTAGCGTTTGAGCCATTGATTAATCTCAAAGTCAACACAAAGAACATCATGAAGCAAATGTTGAGGAAGAGCATGTGACATAATGTTTTATTTAGTCAGTAAACATGTTATATTGATTTCTAACTACATATAGAGTCAACACACAATGGTTACAATACATAGGGTTGAGTTTACTTGATATACAGAAGACGTTAACTAATAAGGAGAATCCGGAAATGAGAATTCTACTTTAACAACCACACTAAAGCAACAAAATGGTGAGTATGAAATCACTAGGTTCTTATCAAACTCGCGTAAATTTACTTGATACTTGTGGTTTACAAGTAATTGTATGTAATCAAAGTTTAATTAAAGATTCTATGCATAATAAGAGAGTGAACCATAAATTTTTTTCAGACAAACAAAAACCTATTTGTACCACATTTATGAAACACATGTGAGATTTAGGTAAGAATGAATCCTAATTCCATCTATCTACGTTACGTGTGATCAACATATGAAGCATTGTATATGCACTAAAAAGGAAAAGATGTTCTAGAGCATTGGGTCAGATACTCAGAAAAATAGCCATCAGATCAGCTCATTAGATGCAAAGTCTAGTCCAATTTTGCCAATTGAGCTAATTGGGTTGGGTTGGGTTACTATGTTGTCTTGGAACTGGTTCACCTCTCGAGCTAGGCCCTTTCTCTATGTGGACTCAATTTTTTGGAAAATAACTTCCTTGAATCAAAACGCTACGATGACAATAAATATAAGAAAACGCAAGACTCCAACACTAGAATATGTGATGTAGTACTTGGGTATTATATTAATCAGGGGAACTTTTTAATTCAGTTTGTAACTTCATCAATTCTAAATGAGTAAACATGCCAATAATAAAAACTGAATGTTGCGACATTGTATCATCATTTGCATGCTAAAGGTGGTTGTTTCTTGGTTAATCGTATGATTGAAGGTTGTTCTAGACTAGATAATAATTTGTAGTACTGCTATCAAAACACTGGATTGCAATACAACTTTGTAGGTATTAGATAGTGTCTTGTGAAATTAAACTCATAAAACAATATTCGACCTAAATTCCATAGAACATAAATTGATGTTTCCTCTATTTTTTAAGAATAATTTTTAAAATAATAGAAAACAAAATACACATTATAATAAGAAACTAAAAATCATTTATGCCATCACTACCGTCGCCATAACCAAAACCACCGCCACAACTTACAATCATCACCACCGCGGCGACCATTTTTGACACTATTGCCATCACTCTTGCCACCATGGCCACCACCACCACCACCTCCACCATCCCTCCCACCATTGCTGAAACCTACCCTACCATTACCATCTCATCCTAACCACCACCACATGCACTACGCTGCCACTACAACCATATTATCCACCACTATCACCCTCACTACCATGGCCATCAACACCTCCATCGTCTCGCCGTTATGGCCCCACCACCACCTCCCACCACCATCACCACATTCTCCACTTCATTACCCTCACCATGGCCACCCCCATTACCCTCACCATTACCACCACTCTAACCACCGTTACTACCAACACTATTCTCGTCTCAACTATCATTACTATCAAACATGAAGTTATTTATAATTATATGTGTGTATACATATATTTTTAACGTTTTAGATATTGATATCAAACACGTTTTCAAAGTTTTTATTTCCAAAATCATTCTCAAATTAAACTATCAAAATTTTTTTTCAAGTCCTAAAAATACAAAATCCTATTTGTCGTTTTTTTTTATTTTTACAAACAGTTGTTAAAAAATTGTTTTGGAAGACGTAACCGGACAGGTCCTAAACAGATGGCGGTGACCTTCTATGAATAATATATTTTTTTATTTCTATATATGAATAATATTTGGAATTGTTTTGGAAGACGTAACCGGACAGGTCCTAAACAGATGGCGGTGACCTTCTATGAATAATATATTTTTTTATTTCTATATATGAATAATATTTGGATACTCAAAAGATGAATAGAAGTTTTTACTCAAAATTATTCGTGATTGATATATAGAATATATTCATAATCGTTTATATTATAAACACTCTATTATGTAATTGTGTAGTAAAAATAGATAAACAGAATTGATAAAAGTACAATATTCTGTGATTCGAACTCGAATTTTGAGTAGGAATTTTTACACAAGCATTGTTGTTATTCGTTCACCTACCCTTCCACCACCGTGTTCTACTTGCATCTATCAGTTTCTCCGCTCCCTCTTTCAACAAACGCAGCTTGTTTCATAAGATGGAAGGTAAAATTTTGCTTCTTTCTATGAAATTTGAACTAATATCAATTCTCCTAACTTTCCCATTTAATAAAAATTTATTCTCTTTTTTGTAAGTTTTTCTCTATTCTGTGACTTAGCTTTATGAAAGTGACGATTAATGCATAAAATCAATTCTTTTCATTCGGGATTGCCGTAGAGCTCGTTTGGATGTGCTTTTAAAATGACTGAAAACATTTTTTGTGAAAATATTTTTAGAACCAATCTTTAGTAAAGATACAAATAAATCCTGAAAAACCACTTAAAGTGCTTCCTGAAGAAGCACATAACTGGTGCTTCTTGCAGAAAGCATTTAAGTACTTACAGAATTCAAAAACATTTTCTCTAAAAGCATTTTTAGTTATTCTAAAAGCACATCTAAACGAGTCCGTAATTAGAGAATATGGAATTTGGGTTGGTAATTTTGTTTTCAATTGGTATTCTGAAGTACAATCCTAACAGCTACTCTGCTAGATTGTTGAACATGAAACTGGCGTTTTTTTGTTTTCATTAATAAATATGAATCTGAAGTTGGTTTGGATTAATAGTGAATGTAATTGGTCTTAATAAGTAGATTATATTGATGAAAGATAACGAAAATACGCATTGAGTCGTTTTTTAGATTGTGAGCTGTGTTTTGCTGACAGCTACATGAACTGCAGTTTATATATTCTGCCCAGCAGATTCATGAATCCTAATTCTATCTATTATCTGTTATGCGCGTTGTTGATATTATGCAAGTTTTGATCAAGTAGTTATCACATCATATCGCATTTCGTAAATAAATTTAGATGAAACCCTCTTCTACTCAGAATGTCAGTTCTCCGACGTTGTAGTTTGAAATACCAAAGGATTGCACTGTTTCGTAGAATTGACCCTTCTTAGCTCACAAGGAAATAATATTGATGAAATTTGGAAATGGGTTTCAAGGCTCACAAACACTGCTGATGAACAAACTCTCTTTGTTAAAGAAGGCAAGGATCAGCACGATTCAAGTAACGAATCAATCCAGCCGATATCAAATTAATTGTAATATATTTTCCTGTTCTGTTGTATGCTAGCTTAATTGTAGGAGTTAGTTTAGCATCAATTACGTCATAAGTATTGTATATAACCTTATACTTTGTGTTGAATAATATTACAAGAGAAAGAATTTACTCGAACAAGATTTCTTTGACTCTTGATTAATATTTTATGACCGTGAATCTGATAAAATTGTGGACCTTCTATGCAGCAATGTCAGAGAAGACTGTCCAAAATGTTTCTGTCTCAGTGCTACCAACTAAGTGTTGAATTGTGGCCAAGTGGCCAAGTGGACAAC